TATTCAACATATGTTTTACATCAATTTCTTGATGAGGCTGATCGGCGATGTTGGCAAGCATTTGTTACTGCAGTATCGATATGGAGCCAGAGAATTATAACGGAAGCTGAAATCGAAGCTGGTCACACAGCTATGATGGCATTCTTACAATATGCTGAACAAATTTATGGGAAAAATTTCTGTTCTCCTAATATGCATTTGCACAAACATTTACGGGAATGCATGATAGATTATGGCCCATGGTATTCATTCTGGTGTTTTGCTTACGAACGTTATAATGGGCATGCATCATTTTTTTTTTTTTTTAATTTTTAATTTTTTATTTATTTATTTATTTTATTTATTTTAGAGAACTTGGTTCATTTCCTAATTCAAACCGCAATATGGAACTAGAAGTGCTCGAAAATTTTAATCGCCAAATTTACATTCGACAAATTAAAGCAAAAGCCTATCATTACTTGCCTCGGAATTTTTTATCATCTTTAGATTTGATTGCCCAAATTAATGTTGAAAAAACTGGAACTTTGGGTCACTATAATTTTACAGTTCAAGAGGCATTGGATTTTCATGCAATGTCTGGTGGATTAATCGATCATATTGTAACCGGCTCAGAACGATTTCCTGGTCATTTTGTCGGGCCATTTCATGAAATTATCTTATCAACTGAAATAATTAAATTTCTTGTTCAGTATTATTCAGAAATTTATCCAAATTACAACTTTTATGATGAAAATCAATTACCAAAATCAGAAAAATCAATTCTTGTGTCTTCAACAGCTCGTCGGGCAACTGCTCTCAAACTTGGTGAAGAAAAATATGGATCTTTTTTTTCGCGCTCTGATTTGAATTCGCATGTACTTGCACGTTGGCAGCTAGAAAATGAGAGAGTTAATTGGCCAGGAATAATTAAATTTTTTATTGAACACCGAGTATCTTTGCCAAATTCAAAAACTCCAACTAGCCATTATCTTGCTATTGTTGATTGGTATAGAAGAGATTCACAAAAACAAAGCTATTTTTATGTAAAATCACGTGATAAATTATTCAAAAATATATTATCTACAAATGCCGATGGAACTTACCATGCGGAATTGTGGGAAGACCGATTCGTTGAGCGAGGAATTGTAACTATCTTACCAATTCAAAGGATAATCGGTCGATTTGCTAAAAGCAATGGAATCAAGTTATCTGGAAGTAAAAAAAAATATGTCGTCATTATACCACTAAACCGAAAATTTTCAGTATAATAGTAAGTATTAATTGTATTTATTTTTATATACAAATAAGATAATAAATACTACTGATTAAAAATTTGATATTATTGTATCAGCTCCGAACAAAAATTATTTATATATATCTGTTTACATCTTATTCGTAATTACTTTTTTTAGTCTTACCAAAAAATTTCTTTCATGGCAAAAGCTACTTTAAACTCCCTTTCGACAAGTATTACTAGCTTAACTCAAAGCGTAAATGAAATGAAAACTACTTTAAATTCTTCAGATATTAAAAATCAACTTGAAATAACAAAAAATTCAATCGATTCTTTAAAACGTCGATTTGATATTTATGAGCAAAACCAGAATGAGATTGCAACTACTATACAGCGTATTAATAGTGAACATGGAATTAAAATACAACGTCTTGAAGATACATTAATAACTGCAACTACTACATTAGAAAATTTATCAACTTCTACTTCGGCACTTCAAGATACTACGAACAATATATTATCACATATTCAGAGTTATGACAATAATATTTCAAGTATAACAAATACAATGATTAACTCTCCACGCGCTATTACGGTAGCAAATCCTGTGCTTACTGCAAAAGTTCATGACAAGATGCGTTATTTTAATGGATTCGATGATGAATCTCAATCTCAAGATCGTAATTATATATATGACTTTGAACTTGGTCCTAAAAACCGGAAAAACAAAAGAATTACTCGAAACTATGTGGATCTCTTTATTAAGGAATTTGATGTCCAATTCGAAAACACACGTATCTATTTTTAATTTATTACTGTAGTTACAAACTTTTATAATATTTAATAATTCAAATTATTTTCTAGAAACTAATGAAAAATGGAATGAAACTACAATCACTGAAATCTGTGAAGCTTACTTTAAGACATTGAAAAAAGAACGTAACACTACTCCGGCTGCAAAAATGTTGAATGATCAACGCTCATGACGGCGTAAGCGATGTGATACAGTAAATATAAAAAATTTTACATTGTTAATTTTGTATCGATTATATAATTATTCACACACTATTATTTTATTGGTAAAAATTCTTTTTTTTAGAAATCACTTAACCGATTAGCCGCCTTAAACAAAATTCCTGAAAGCAATTTAAATTATCCTAAAATTGAAGTTGAAAAGTTATTTTCTTTTGAGGCGACATCCCCGGAAGTGTCTGATGCTGAAGAGATTCCAATATCTGGCTCTGATGATTTAGATATATCTCAATCATTTAGAAGAAAACTATTAGTACCGGTTCTTCCTTGGATAAGCGACGAGGTATAATATTTTGTTATTTACTGTATATACTATTAACAAACTAAAACTACTAATATTTTATTATAGGCAATTCATATCCGTGGTCTTGTAGAGGATTTTATTAAACGAAATCGAGTGGAAAAATTAAATTCTGGAGGCCGTCATTCTTACACTACTCCTCTTCCACGTGAAATTATTAAAATGGACGATCCAAGATGGATTACGATGCGATCAATGATTCCTCCAAAACCGAAAGACCTCCCAAATTGGGCATGGAATCAAATCGATCCAAGCGAATACTTTGAAAATTCCGATGACATAGATGATTACATTTATGAATAATAATCGTTAAATATAGATATTTTTATTTTATCAATTATAGAGATTATTTGTATGTAACATCGATACTCTGGTTATAGAGTATTCTATATATATTCTGTACTTTTTTTAATATTACGCTTAATAAAATGCTGGCATAATCTCTAGAAAACTATTGGAATATCACTAACTATTACAACTATTTTCTAAAACAATTCATAAAATTATACTAAAAATAATCGATAAAAAAACTTTTGGAAAACTATTATTAAATTACATCTGGAATACTTGAGTAAAAGTTGCACATCACACCACAAGATCGACATGTTAAAACATCTATAATTACTATAAATAATTAACTAAAAACCTTTAGAAAACAGTAAAAAAAG